TAACACAGCTACGCACTTTTCAAGCGGCAGTCATAACCTCCTTATCTTGCCAATAGCTTGTGCCACTGATACAGTACAAGACAAGCAACCTCTTCGTAGGTCACCTCCGGGAGATAACAAATGTGTCATTCATTTAACATATAATGTTCACACCCGGGAGTAAAACGCCCCGCAACACCTAATCGTAACCAATGCTCCACAAAAGCGATCCTAAGTTTGAACCCTATTTAGCATTCCGCCTTTCCACCCCGGATACGAAATGTATCTTTCAAAGAGAAATCTGAGATAGAAAGGCACTTTATAGTACTTCAGTGCCTCCCTAATGCAATTTTAATGATTGTCTACGACTTTACATATTTTTTGTAGGTATACTGGATAAATTAATATCAATTATTACATAATTGTAACTACATTATTTAGCGAGTCATAAAATTCGCAGATACGATAATATACGAAATTATACATTCACTACAAATCCTTTAAACTTACTAGACGTGTTTTTGGAGAAGAATTTAGATAGAACGTCATATCAAGCTTGAAAAGGATATCAATAATATATCAAGGCAAAAGTCATCGCAGTTTTTCAGCGACTATTTATGTGCAGGTAAAATCCTATGCCATATTTGTATCTGCTGATATATTTGTATGAGCAGATAGTATTGTCACCACCTTTTGATATATGCTTACAGGTATTAAAAGATAAAATATAAATTATCTGAGCTGTGTGTATTATATAGTTCATAGAATTTCATAGAGAGCCATATTGAAAGATATGCGCTCAGATACAAATATCTTATCGTATTTGCGTAGTGTGTGTCTAGCTTTATTATCAGGGGTGTCACTTTGCAAACAACACCACTGAGGGACAGCCTCTGTTTAATGTTATCGTTCACAACAAACAATTTAAAATATTTCGATCCCTTACAATAAGATTCAATGAACAAAATATATACATATATACACACACAAGGGTTACTGGTACCTCGACGTATTCCCGCCAAGGCGTGATAGTTGGGGTCATAGCCTATCAAATGAACCATAAAATGCATTAAGCAAATGTGGACCCATTTCGAAATATTTATGTTTAATTATTTTTTTTTTCAAAAATCCCAAAAGTCTGGTGTCAAAAATTTCTGAAAAAGAAACTTACAGCTGTATTATTTTCATTTTATTATTTTTACTTAATGAAAACCTGGATACTTATTTATCAATACTACAGTGTGCAAAAAGTCTCATCATTTTCGTAGTAACGCTACTAAAAGTACAACTTTTTCCAAACAGAAGATAAGTAATTAAAAATAAAAAGGATTTTGTGAAAAATAATTGTATGTGATCAATTGTGCAAATCATGTTAAAAACATCCCTATTTATCTAGCTTTAGAATGAGATCAGGTAGTGGAGTTCTAAGCAGACAAAGGAATTTGTGTTTTATTTTTAACCAATATTAATCTCCTTCTTCTATCACATGCACTGGTGTGTAGTGGTACGTATAAAGCCCCGCAGTATGCACAGTAGACCAGACCTTCTACTGCGATACACCTAAGCGACGAGCAACTATGTTCGTGGAAGTGGTTGGATCTTCTTGAAATTTACTCAAAATTTCTTCATCTTCTGTGACATGCACATTATACAACTGCACTCTTCTTTGACATGTCGAAGGCTTTCGATTTTGTCTCACATAATTCATTACTGGTAAAATTGAAAAAATGTGGCATTAGAGGCACTGATTTAAGTTGGATTAAAAGTTATTTGCAAAATAGACGTCAATCTGTTTAAATAAGCAAACCAGACTGCAATCATGTGGTCCTAAATCACAAATCAGATTTTAAAGAAAACAAATATGGAGTTCCACAGGGTAGCGTTTTGGGACCACTGTTGTTCTTAGTATATCTTAATAATCTTCCGGATTGACTAAAACTATTATTTACGGATTTTATCGCGTTTAATCACTTTAATTTATTTTTATTATTATCCCGACGTTTCGGGTGCTTTACAGCGCCCATGGTCACGGGGGGGACTGGGGACATACTACCATATGTTAGAGGAGTCACGGACAAGATTGGCTACATCTTGAAGCGAGCGTCCATTAAGACATACTACAAGCCGCTGAAGAAGATTAGTCAATTTTTACCATCCATCAAATGTAATATTCCTCTACAAGATGCAGGTGTGTACAAGCTAGATTGTGAATGTGGTCTCTCTTACATAGGTCAAACAAAGAGATCTATAAAAACCCGCGTGAAGGAACATATAGCTGATGTGAAGCACCGACGCTCCGGGAAGTCTGCAGTCTGCGAACATGTTCAAGATCGTCCCCACCATTACATTAGATTTGATAAACCACAAATTCTCGCAAAAGAACACCGATTCCTACCAAGGATGATACGCGAGGCTATTGAAATTAAAAAACATCCAAATTTCAATAGAGAAGATGGTTGGGTGCTACCATCTACTTGGGATCCTATAATTAACAAAATTAAACCCAAACCCAAGCATACCACTGCAAGACTTCATGATACTATAAGCTCGTTTTGCGTAAATCGGACCAAAAATTAATATTAAAAAAACTGAAGGTAGCCGGACTAACTATGACATTGGGACGTCAAACATCTCAGTCCCCCCCCCCCGTGACCATGGGCGCTGTAAAGCACCCGAAACGTCGGGATAATATTAAAAATAAATTAAAGTGATTAAACGCGATAAAATCCGTAAATAATAGTTTTATTCAATGTGTAGTGTTCGCGTAAATTTAAGAAATCATTATGTGAATCTTCCGGATGTAACTAAACACAAATGCATTTTATTTGCTGACGACATATCTGTAATAGTAAAAACAGATGGTAAACAATCACTTAAAGATCACATTAATGATATTAACAGTACAGTAAAAACAATAATAGAATGGCTTAAAAATAACAACCTACTTGTAAATCTTGACAAAACTTATTTTATAAATTTCAATGACATATTATACCAGACAATGAACATTAATTTTGAAGGACAAACACTAAAAAGTACAAATATGACAAAATTCCTAGGTATATGGATTGATCAAAAACTAAATTGGAAATGCCAAGTTGAATATGTATGTAAAAAAAGTAAATAGATTTTCGTACGCACTTTATAAACTAAGCAAAGTAGCCACAAAAAATACAGCACTTACTGCGTACTTTGCATATGTGGAATCCGTACTGTGATACGGGCTTATTATATGGGGCAATAGCACAGATGCAAAAAAGGCATTCATTGCCCAAAAAAAAATGTATTAGAGCAAAATGTGGCACTGCACCTGATGAGCCTTGCAGGCCGCTATTTGTATCTCTAAAAATACTACCACTCCCATGCTTGTACATTTTTGAAATTGCAAAGTTTGTAAAACAAAACATGTATTATTTCAGACAAGCAAAAGAGATTTATACGCAAAATACCAGAAATGGCAATAGACTTGCTGCTGAAATTATACCCAAGAGTGCTCGGTTTAAAAAAAAATTGCTACTGGATATGTATGCTCATATTTAATAAAATACCCCAAAATATCAAAGACTTACCCCTTAACCATTGTTTTTATAATGTGAATGACTACCTAAATTTGACATGATGCGACACAACAGTAGTTATATATTTTTAATTGCATTTTCAATTTTAATTATTTTTAAATTTGTATGTGGATTATGTATTGATAATTTCTAAACGATGACTATTTATGATATATTTTAATTGAATTCGCTATTTTAATAAAAAACTAAATAATCTTAATTATAAAAAATGTATTTGCATGCTATCCATAGATGGCTGAAAAAGCTGTACTATACTTTGTAATAACCACCTTAATGTAACCTTTTTCAAAGCAAATCTTCATTTCATTTCATTTCTATTCATTTCATTTCATTTCATGGGGTGGTCGGCGATTAGGGTAGCGCTGTAGGTATTCACGGCGAGCAGCTGCAGCGTCACCGTCACAATATCCATAGAGATAAAAGATATCTGCGTATTCCTCGTTGGAAAATGATTGCCTTGCATGATCTCCGCGTCTTGGTGGTTCCGCCGCCATAAAACTTTGAAACTCAACTTCTTTAACTGTAACAGGGAGGGATATGCGCGCGTGTGTACGATGCCTGTAATACTGATGACTGATTGAACAGTTTCTTCTTGTTTAACTTGTTTCTAATTTCACACTAAAAGTAAACAATAGCGTAAGTTCAAACGCACTATCTTTTACGAGCATTCCCGCAGCTGTTGATAAGGTTCCGAGAAGCGATTGTTTGGGATTACCTAAAACATTGCTACTCGGAACTTGTCTACCTGGCCCCTTTTTTTCAAGTTTTTTCTGTACTATTTAAGTTACAAGCTAAATTGATACTCGTTCGTTGGGTAGCTAGATAAGTAGGGATGTTTTTAACATGATTTGCACAATTGGTCACATACAATTATTTTTCACAAAATCATTTTTATTTTTAATTACTTATCTTCTGTTTGGAAAAAGTTGTCTTTTAGTAGCGTTACTTCGAAAATGATGAGTCTTTTTGCACACTGTGGTATTGATAAATAAGTATCCAGGTTTAAATTAAGTAAAAATAATAAAATGAAAATAATACAGCTGTAAGTTTTTTTTTTTGAAATTTATGACACCAGACTTTTGGGATTTTTGAAAAAAATAATTAAACCTAAATATCTCGAAATTGGTCCACATTTGCATAATTCATTTTATGGTTCATTTTATAGGTTATGACCCCAACTATCATGCCTTGGCGGGAATACGTCGAGTTACCAGTAACCCTATATATATATATATAAAATATCTAAATTGTTCATTGTGACAATTTTTTTCTGGTATACTGTTTCATATCTATTTGCTAATTTTTACAGCACAATTGTATACAAAAAAAAAATATTCACGATCCTATTATTAGAGAAATAGCTATTACTTGTCATAAGTAAAATTTAAATATTGCTATAATGAAAAAAATAATTTATTATGGTCGTAATACTAGCATGCTTACCAAACCGAGTACAAAAGAAAACACTAATTTGAGATTTGAACCAATGTGAAGCCAATTTGGTAATTGTGAAGGAGCAGTTTGCTCTGGCTGGGTGGGCAACAAGAGTGCTGATATGCAACATATGCTTACTGCCACTGCAACAACATTGATTGGTTGTTGGTCCCTGTAAAAATGAAAGTTAAATTTACCAATAGCTGGTTGATAAATAAGTCAAGAAAAATTTATTGAACTGTATGTTGTCTGAGTCATACTGATTTTATAACCTTACCAAATTCAATTATACAAAAGCTATATCACCTGTGATGTAGGGGGTGATTACAAGTAATTCTTGCAAGTTCTTCTGTGGGCTTGATAGTTTGAGCTTTAGTTGTTAATGGATGAAAACTATCCCCTAAACTTTCTTGCATAGTGTTAAGTGGTTCTCCTTCTATTAATTTAGTGGGAATGTCTCTTTTACCTAGAGCCTAAAATAAGTATGATAAAATGTGATAAGATGTTCTGTTCGCCACCTTAGTACACCATTTGTTTATCATAGAACACCAGATGTGTTCTATCATAAACAAATGGTAAAATTAAAGGTTTTGTATAACCAACTTCAATATAAACAAAATGAGAACATCATCAATGTAGTCGAGATCAATTAAATACACATTATTAAGTATTACTCAAAAACTACTGGTCAGATCTTGATCAAATTTACATGGGACCAAATGAGAATTACCAGCCTTCAAATAAAAAAGAATCATCATAATTGGTTAACCTAGAAATAAATTCTGAGGTAAAATGCATTGAAAAATACAGTTGAATTGAGTACCTTCTCCTTTTTTGAAAACGGATAAAAAATCAATTTACTAATAATGCACAGATAAGTGACAATATTAGAATATTGTAAATATCGGACAGAATATCTTCAGCTTAATATAACTTACGATGAATAGGTCTTCCTACATTTTTTTCTGTAATTTGCTTGATTTAGATTGATCAATTAGAAACAATTTTATACATAATTTTATCTAAAAATCAATGTTTTTTTTTTTCATAAAACTGATGTGACAAATAAATTTACAGCCACCTGATTGTAAGCGCTGCTGTAATACATAGTAATCTGCAACCAACTTCAAACAAAAAAGGTACAGACGCTTTGTTACCTCTGGCATCTTAAGATGTTATGCCTCACAGCTTTAATTATACTGACTCTGTGCCCTTCATAGATTATTATATGAATGAACAGATAATCCAAGCCAAGACACAAAGAAAATTTTCTTTTAACCCTTTTTGAATCAGTATGCATGACCAGTCTGCTAAAAAATAAAAAAGAATCTAATTCTAAAGCCCTAAATTATCATACAGCCCTACTCCCCGTAGAATGGCTATAATTAGCCTTTGAGCAAAAAACATCCAGCCCTCTTCATCAGAGAGAACAGAGAGATCAGCAACAAACAGTCACGCATATAGTTCCTTTAGGAACTTCACTACATGTGGACCTCATGGATGATTTACATGCTTGTTGCAGAAGGTAAACAAAATTTACTTCGAGGATATGCGAAGTCCGACAAAACGCAGTGGGACAGCAACATATTTTACTATATTACTACAAGCAACATATATTACCATTTTATCTTTTTTTTGATTACTTTGGTTTTTTTTCGTTTAAATTTATGATTACCTTATTAGGCTTGTAAATAATCTGAGTGCTCATACCTGCTGGGTATTTCTATCATACATTGTTATTCTGAATTTTTCCGTTGTGTTGCAATGCGCTGCTGAAGGTTGAGTATATCGAACCACTATATCAATACAACTTTGTGGTGCAATCACACCTTCTGGGTCAATCACAGTAAACTTATTGGGTGAAGTGCACAATACTGAAAACAACAATGTTTTTTTTACACAAAGTATAATTCTGATTTTCATTCCTTGTATTTTGAAATTTACCTTTGAAATTCACAGAGAAATCATATGGATTATAAACCGTTAACAATTGTTTGTGAGTGTGTCTAGCATTTAAGTAAAATTCTAATGATACGGGAAACACAAAAACTGGAAAATTCTTCATTTTATATTTGTTTCACTCACGAGAACAAGACAAAATATAATATCAATTTCGATTTAATTCGCACGCAAATTTTGACAGCTGTTTGTTGTTTTGTTGAATGTTGATAAAACATATGTTTTGTATACGTCTATGGTTGATATTCGCATACCATAGACTTAGTATCTTAACGTTCGGCAGCGGTCGGCAATCTCATCTGTGAGACGAGAAGCGTATTTTTATTTTTTCGATAATTGACGATTGAAAAAGTTTGCTCGCATACTACTTGTTCATTCGCCCTATTAGTACCGATAGCAGCGCCTTCGTAAAGTTTTATATATCATTATTTTACATTTTTTGTTTATTTAATATAAATATTTTAAATGTAAAACAAAACTATGAAATTTTTAATATTTTAAAATTGTATGGGACACGTTCCTATTCACTGTTATTAATTCACTTTACTAAATAAATTCTTTTATAATATGCATTTTATCTACTTGTTTGGTCTCAATTTCTGTGTACAGGACAACGAACTACTTACTTAGTTTGCGTTTGTAAACTCTCATTGGATTGAAGTTTAATCATTTTTTTTTTCAAATTACTGGGTACATCCTCAAATTCACATGAAAAAGGGCTAGCAAAACATTTCAGTTTGTTGAATACCTTCTCGAAATCAACAAATTCGTAACTGAATTGTGTTGTAAATCCATTAAAATCTCTTTCATTCTCACTCCCAATTAACTTTTGACAATTAGGGAAGTGATAATTTTTTTCTCAACAATATATTTTATGAAGAGTCGGTTTTTAGCCTTTACGTCTGTATGCATATCAGATATTAGTTTCGTTTAATCCTTAAAGTCAAAAATCCAAGATCTATTAACTATTGAGGGTCTGTTAGCTCTGAAATAGATTGACCTTTCTGATTCATAAAAGTGTTGATTTTTTCCTAGAAATTTCGATCCTAGAAAGGATCGAAATTTCTTCTCAATACTGTAACTCCACTTAACGATCTTACTTCTGAATAATAAAGAAAATCTTGATGACCTGCTACCATTTTGGATAGAAACTTCCGGAATTGACGATGTGTCAACCCTTTATCTGATATAGTTTACAGTGGATATCGCGATGTCCATTACTTTTTCCATGAAACGACTTTGGAACACAACGCTTCTCGGTGGACAATGCAATTAAAAAATAACGGGATTTCACATGCTATCTCTGCCAATTTTGTTTTAATTCTACCCATCAGGCCCTTGTTTTGTTCTCTCATCTATCTAGCTCCGTCAGTTGTTAGACTTACCAATTTTTCGTATTGACGTCATTGCCTGTTCTAAGTGACAAAACAAATCTTCCCCCGACTACGTGGTCAATGGTTCTCTACACTCATCATACGAAACAGCAGCATTACGCTAGAGCACACAATCCACCTGATGGTAAGTGCATTTTTTCACATTACAACGATTTACGATTAAATATTCACGATTACAACATTATAACAAGTACATTTATCTTCAATTAAGAATCAAAATGCAGATGCGTTGTCATTCCTGAGGACTGAGATGGAATGCCTCGTTTACAGTAAAAAGGGTCTCCGGTTCTCTACACTCATCACACGAAATACAGCAGCATTAAGCTGTATTCTGTGAGACCGTGGTCCCACCCCGGTCAAGCCGACCCATTCATGTTGCAATTAAACCTAAACGGCTGCGCTGATCTTGACAAAATTGAATATAAATACTTTGTAACAAGAGGAAGGACATAGAATCGACAGAAGCGATTGTGATCCCCTAAGATGTTTGGCAATATCAAATGGTTTAAGGTTTAAGCTTATGATAAATTTATTCCTTTACTTTTTAGGCCACTGTAAGCAAAGTGTGGGAAGACACTACAGTAAAGTCACGAAAAGCATCATCAAGGTGCTAAGAATCCTACTTCCAAAGGCAACCGGCTAATTATTTCACATAAAGGACGTGAAAAAGGATTCGTGACAGAATCAGAATTGGTATTTAAATGCAAAGGTACAGGCGATTATCACTTATCGATGAATGCAGTCAAGTTCGAAAATTGGTTTCAAGCAAGCCTTGAGCTAAACGCGGTGATTGTTATGGATAACGCAAGCTAACACTCAAGATACCAGGAGAAAATCCCAGTTACTAGTTGGAAAAAACCAGACGCCCAAGAGTGGCCTTCATCAAAGCAAATTTCTTTTGAGGCAAAAGAAACAAAAGTCCAGCTCTTAGAAAAAGTGAAAGATGTCAAAACTCAGTACCAATCGTACGTGGTCGATGAGATGGCAAAAGCAGTTGGTGTGCAGGTATTGAGATTACCTCCATACCACTGCGAATTGAATCCCATCGAACTAGTGTGGGCAGACGTGAAGGGGTATGTGGCCCAAAAAAAATACAACATTTAAGATGGCAGATGTCAAAAAGATGCTACAGGAGGCCTTAGGCAAAATGGCAAAATTGCATCAGTCCCGTAAAAAAAAAAAGATAACAAAAAAAAACTTTGATCTTTTGAATATATAGATAACTCCTAGAGAAATCGGATTTTGATTTTGAAATTAGTGATTGTAACTCGATTTTTATAACTGTTTTTATAAGTACTAAAATCAAAATAAATAATTTATATAATAACAATAATTTATTTAATAAGTTAGCAAATTTATTTTTTTCTCCTTCAAATGTTTTATATAAACCGCACTTAATACAAAAATGTTTGTGATCACTGTCAGTAGGCTATTGTACGAAATTCTTCCTGCTCCGCTACTGGCTACTGGACTTTTAGACGTGGTAGTGGAGGGGCAAAATGCTTGTCGTAACTTTCACAGTGAGCGAATATTGTGAATTCGAACCCCTCCGGCAACAGGGAAATTGTTAATTGCAATTTTCAATATTGAAAGCATGAAGCAGAGTATAGTAATGGCAAGTAGTTGAGAAACTTGCATGTCTAAAAAATTAAATATTTCAAACAAATGTGAAGTCTACAAATACACGCTGTAGCAACGTGGTGAAAAAGTTACTCCATATTCCGTTGATAATTAGAGGAGGCCTGTGTCCATCAGCAGGACTTTTATAGCGAGTGAATTTAAATTAATTATACTTAAATTTTGTTCAATCTGAGCATGTGCAGACGAATGTACGAAAAGGCGAAGCAAATTAACACTCATGTAGGGTTATTGCTGGTAAAGTATAATTTAGGATCTAGGCCTTGGAGATAAATCTCTAAAAACACATTGCATAACAATACATTTATCACAACTAGTCTTTAGTAGCTGGAAAGACATTCTAATTCTAATCTAGCTCAGACTGACGTCCGGGATATCATCGGAATAGAGTCGAACGAGACTTCCTCTTAGGTCATACTCACAGCTGTTCATAAAATTCCTCGTTGTCACTCACTACGCCGAAGTGCTAATGGCCTTAGCATCATCATCTTACAGCCCTTCATAAGTCCACTGCTGAACATAGGCCTCCCCCAAGGAATGCCACAAAGCACACTTCTGAGCCACCTGTATCCATCGACTTCCAATGCAACTTTACTAGGTTGTCACTCCATCTAGTGCGGGTTTGCCATACACTTAGTAAGGACGGCGCCACCAATTCAATAATAACGAAAACAGTCAAATTGACTCTATTACATCCGTTGATGAGGTACCAGACACTTTTGAACTTCCAGTAAATAAAGCAGAAAACGGTGTAACTATCAACAATGAAAACTTTGATAATGCTGTTCAAAACATTAATGGCCAGTGGCAAAGAATTAATGATATATTGGATCTTGCAAATCGGAGCATCAAGGTCAACGACCTTAAACGGTGCAAGCAGCGCACATGGAATACTGTTCCCATCTCTGGCCTGGGGCATCCCAGTGCCAGCTCCTTCCACTTGACCGCATCCAGCGCAGAGCGGCTCGAATCGTCGACGACCGAGTGCTTTCCGATCGGCTCAATTCACTGGCGCTGCGAAGAGATGTTGTATCGCATGCGCATCTATCACTGGGAGTGCTCTGAGGAATTGTTCGGATTAATCCCAGTCGCCAAATATCATGAACGCACTAAGCGGCAAACCTCCCGATTCCATCCACACCATCTGGATGCTTGGCGGTCCACTACTGTACATTTCACTAGGAGTTTTCTTCCGCGTACGACCTTTGTGGCCGAGGACCTTCAAGAAAAGAGCATACTCCTTTGTAAAGGGCCGGCAACGTACCTGCAATTCCCCTGGTGTTGCGGTTATTAATGGACAGTGGTAGTCACTTAACATCAGTGAACCGTATGTTCGTTTGCCCCCTCTTCTATAAAAAAGGATTCAAATTCTGCGTATACAAACATTCTTAAAAAGTTCTGATCTGATTTGTCAAAGCTACAAACTCCATCGAGTATAATATCATTTATTGCCGAAAAAATATTCGACGAAGATCTCGAAAAAATAATGTAAAATCATCGATCGCCGTAAAAGCTGTCTAATATGCAGTGGAATTATCCAATCAGGATGACTAGGTCAGAAACTGTAAAAGAAAACGTGTTCAAAATATTGCATCAAATGTTGTCTCCTGCCATAAAACATTGATTTTATAAAATTACGTAATTATTATTTTTCCATGATGACGTTGATTGCCTTACCTAACATACTGATACATGTTTGAATGTAGTTTAGATAGATTAGATATTTTTGTTCTAATAAAAAATTAAAGACTATGTTTGAGTTTTATTGCACATTCATCAAAAATGCCCACGAACAAGCACGGATTAATGGTGCTTAATCAAGTCGCATGTTCCTTGCAAACCCCTGCGCGATTGTAGGACTACCATGCATCGCCTTGAATACGTTTGGAAGAAGAGTTTACGTTGCAAACCCGTACGCGATTGGAGGGCGAGCGCCTCAAACGGAGCACGGATTTGGAAAGTTAGCGAAACAAACCTGTGCATGTTTCAAGGCAGTACAGCCTCCTATTGAACACGGAAACGTAAATACGCATTCTGGATATGTACTCGGAAAGCCATAGTATCTCTAGTGTAC